TGCTTTTCGTTCGACTTCCGTCCTCAGCTTGTATGTTGATACTGGCTTCCTATCTCTCCAGGACCGCCGTGATCGCTACTGTCTTCGCTACCTTGTGCGGTCCTTGCAACATCCTTCGTCTCGCCTTTGTCGTGCTTTAACTTTTACCCCTTCTGCGGTTCCTGTTCCTCTTCACCACCTCCCTCTTTCTGTTCGGTTATCTCGCTTACAGGATTCTCTTTTCGTTCATAATTCTAATATTTCTCCTCGTGTTGTTCCCTCTTTGCCCCCATGGAGAGTCCCCCCTTCCGCAGTTTTGTACATCCTTGACCCGCATCACTAAAGCTTCTACCCCTCCTACGGTTCTAAAATGCCTTTTCCTTGAGCATTTTTCTTCTCACCCCACTCCGTTTCCATCTTCACCGATGGGTCTAAGTCTGCGGACGGTGTTGGCTACTCTGTTGTTTTTCCTGATCGCACTTATATGTGTCGCTTACTTCTGGAGACTAGCATCTTTACAGCAGAGCTTTATGCTATTCTCTATGCTCTTCGTTTCCTGCTTTCTCGTTGTCAGTCTTCCTTTGTAGTTGTTGTTGACTCTCGTAGTGCCCTCATGGCTCTCGGGTCCTTTAATCCGGTTCATCCAGTAGTTGTCGAGATCCAGCATTGGCTGTTTCTTGTTCACAGTAAATTTAAGTTGGTTGAGTTTTGTTGGGTTCCCAGCCATATTGGTGTGTCTTTAAATGAGTGTGCAGATGCTGCCGCCAAGGAAGCTGTCCGCTCTTGTCCCATCTCTCGTAAAGGTATTCTATATTCTGACTTTTACCCGGTTATCCATTCCTCCATCCTTACCCATTGGCAGGCTTCTTGGTCGTCTGTTACTGGTAACAAACTACGTACTCTTAAATGTTGTGTTTCCTCGTGGCCGTCCTCCTACCACCGTAACCGGCGATGGGAAACAGCTCTGGCGAGGTTGCATATTGGCCATACTCGCTTAATTCATGGTCACTAGATGGAGCGCCGCCCTGCTCCTTATTGTTCAAATTGCATTGTCCCTCTTACGGTCGTGCATGTCCTTCTTGAATGTCCTGACTTCCAGGACGAGCGTGTCTTTCTTTCCGACCGCCCCTCGCGGTCACCTGTCCCTCAATAGAATTCTAGGTGACTCGGATACTTTTGATATCGTTCGCCTTATGCGTTTTTGTTCTCGTATTGGCATCCTTGGTGATATTTAGCGCCCTCTGATTATTCCGCACATTTGATGGTGCTACATAGCCTTCCTGGTTTGGTGCCTTCTTTTGATAATTACTTACATACTTATTTTCTTGATGTGAGGTGGTTGTTCTGTTGTGTTTTTGTCTTCTTAATGGGGGTTCGTGGATTGGAATTGTCTTGTCTTCTTAGTGAGAGGTGGTAGTTTGAAACTGGTTATGTGTTGTTAGTGAGAGGTCATAGTTTGGATGATGTTTTGTCATGTTAGTGAATTGCAGAGGTTTGGGTGAACGTTTCACTTTATAGTGCATAAGGGAGGTTTAATTATATTTTTGTCATTTTAGTGAGTGGTGAGACTTTAGTGGGTTTTATTTTGATAGCAAGGGACTCTTTTTTTATTACAAGTGATGAGTGATAGTTTGTGTTTGGTTTTGCCTCATTCGTAACTAGCTGTACCCGGCCACGTGTTGCTGTGGCTCAGCAGCACATGTGTGCTGCTGAGCCACAGCCCTCCCCCTCTCCCCCTGTTCTCCCCAACATTCTCCCCCTCCCTCTCATCCTCCCAACTATTCCCCACTCTACTGCCTCTTATCCTCCCTACCATTTCCCCCTCCCCCTCCCCCTCCCCTGTACCTTCGTCCTCCCAACAGCTTCATTCCCTCGTCCTCCCCAGAATTCCCCCTCCCCCGTCCCCTAGTCCTCTCCATCATCCCCCACTCCCCCATCCTCTTGTCCTCCCCACCATTCCCCAATCCCCTTGTCCTTCCCACCATCCCCCACTCCCTCATCCCCTCGTCTTCCCCACTCCCCAGTCCCTCGTCCTCCCCACCATTTCCCCCTACCCCAACCCTTCATCCTCACAACCATCCCTTCATCCTCACAACCATCCCCCACTCCCGTCCCCTTGTCCTCTCCACCCCATACCCTCGTCCCCACCATCCCCCACTCCCTCGTCCTCCTCACCATTACCCCCTCTCCCGTCCCCTCATCCTCCCAACCATCTCCCACTCCTGTCCCCTCGCCCTCCCTATCATTCCCCACTCCCTCGTTCTATGCATTCTCAAATGATCTGATGTCCCCATCAGAAAAATGAGAACATCAAATGATCTGATGTTCCCTTTACTTCAAAATAAGAAGAACAGTTAAAAAAAATTATATGAAAAAATGGAAAAATACAAAATTAAACTATACTCATGAAATGAATGGTATGGTAAACAACACAGCTCAATTGCAATACAAAGTCACACAAAATAATTAAACCAAATGAAAATAAATCGAAATCTATGAAAATTCTATTTATCAATGCAATTGGAAACATTGAATTGGAATCGTAACATATTTAGTATAGAGTATATTGCTTTTACATCCAATAGATGGCGCTGTTTTTTTAAGCACGTTTTTACCTGTCACAGGTATGGCATCCATATAGTAGGTATATAAAAACACGTGCATATTCGAATAGAACCCTGTGTCAAAATTTCAAAGCAATCGGTGAAGAACTTTCGGAGATAACGATTTTGAACAAATGAACATTTACATTTTTATTTATATAGAATGGTGGTGTTTGGATGGGATCATGTCTTGTTAATAAGTAATGGATTTATTGTATTCTTGTTAGTAAAAGATGGTGGTTGTGTAAGGTTTTGTCAGTGAGGTTTTGTGATATTAGAATGTACCTTTGTTTATTGTGAGGCTTGGAGACTTCGGTATGCTTTTGATTTGTTAATTTATTGTTTGTGATTACATATGATGCTGTTAAAAATGTTGTTTGTTTCATTTTAGGAATGGATAATCTGTGGTCAAATATTAGGCATTGTGCATTTGATCTATCTTAAATACAACTTCAATTTTAAATAATCAAAACAACGATAATTGGGAATCCTGACATGATTTTTTCATGCATGATGTGTCTGAACATGTAAATCTAATTTGATAATGATCACATTCTTCCAGGGTGTACTTCACTTAAATATTTTAAATCAGTTATTCACAGTTTGCTAACACTAAATAAAAAATATTGTTCTGCTAAGATATATCATTATTAAACTTTGTCAAAAAAACAATCGCTGACAAACCTCTCCCCAAAAGACCTCCGCCTCAGCATCACCTTGCATTTCTGATTAGTGTATTTTATCAAAATAGAAATCTTCCACTATATTGCTACTTCTATTCCTTGATGCTTTTTTAATTCCAAACTAAATACATTTTTCTTGTTGTGTTACGATTAAGTTTCTTAACATTATTGTATTAATTTTAAAACTATTTTGTAATGCACAATTTTGCTTTTGTGACGGGAAAAACATGTTTGTTTGAAAAACTGTGTTTTTCATGTGAGGGAAATCTTTAAAACCTCTTTACCGATTGCTTTGACATTTTGACACAACGTTGCATTCGAAAAGGCGCGTGTTTTTATATATCTACTATATACAGGCCTCACCTGTGACAAGAATTTTTTTTTTTAAACAACACCATCTGTTGGACATAAGAGCAACACATGGTATAATCTCTGAAAGTTCTTCACCGATTGCTTTGACATTTTGACACAACGTTCCATTCGAATATGCCTGTGTTTTTATATGCCTACTATATATAGATGCCACACCTGTAACAGGTAAAAAGATGTTTTCTTTTTTAAAACAGCGCCATCTGTTGCACATCAGAGCAACACACACTAAATACATTATGATTCCATTTCAATGTTTCCAATTTCATTGATTAAATGAATTTTCATAAATTTCGATTTATTTTCATTTTAATTTAATTATTTTGTGTGACATTGCGTTGGAATTGAGCTGTGTTGTTTACTGTTCTGTTCATTTCGTGAGTATAGTTTTTTGTTTGTTTTTTATTTGTTTTTTATTTGTTTTCATATCCTTTTTTAACTGTTCTTCTTATTCTGTAGTGATGGGAACATCAGATCATTTGATGTTCCCATTTTTCTGATGGGAACATCAGATAATTTGGGAACGCATAGGACGAGGGAGTGGGGAATGGTGGGGAGGAAAGGGGACAGGAGTGGGAGATGGTTGGAGGATGAGGGGAGGGGGTAATGGTGAGGAGGATGGGGGAGTGGGTGATTGTGGGGACGAGGCGACGGGGGAGTGGAGAATGGTGGGAAGGACGAGGGGATGGGTGAGTGGGGGATGGTGGGGAAGATGAGGGGACAGGGGACAGGGGAATGGTTGGGAGGACAAGGGGACCGGGGAGGGAGGAATGATGGAGAGGATGAGGCGCTGGAAGAGTGAGGATGGTGGGGAGGACGAGGGGTCGGGTGAGTGGGGAATGGTTGGGAGGACGAGGAGACGGAGGAGTGGAGAGGACGAGGAGACGGAAGAGGATGGAATGGTGGGGACGACGAGGGGTCGGAGGAGTGGGGATGGTGGGGAGGACGTAGGGACGGAAGAGTGGGGGAATGGTTGGGTAGACGAGGGGACGGGGAATGGTGGAGAGGACAGGGTGACAGGGAAGGGTTGCTGTAGCTCAGCAGCGCATGGCCAGGTACAGCAAGTATAGAATATATATGCTATAATTAGTTCAGGAATATTTATATTTGGGTTTAGCTGAATTTTTTCTAAACTCTTAAAGTACAAAAAGGGACTTACTGGAGCTCCATTACTACATTTTGGTACGATCGACAAAACAGTTACAAAACGTTGTATCAAAATAGGTGGTTGAGTTGTATATTTCATTTCATGAAGATCGGCTACACCATAACTATATTTTATAGTTATGAAACTATTTCAGAGTCTCTCCGTTAGTGGGCAGACAACCTTAGTCCTCAGATAAATGTTTATGTATATGTTCTACAGGTACAAGTTACTGGCACAGAGCGTCGAGAGGCTGCGCACCGATGGCCTTAACTCCCTCCGCTACTCCGTCATCACCACCACCCGCTACCCACTCTACACCAACATTTTAGCGCACATCAGCCCCAGCGCTCCTAATATCTTCACCACTGTCAAGTCCACCACTGTCAAGTCCACCACTGTCAGCAACCCCCCATCCCCACCCCACATAAGATAACAGTCAGTAAAGAGAAGAACTTGATGAATAAAATAATAAGAAAAGGTCAAGGCAACAGAAATGTCCAATGTTGGAAAGACTGACCAACCATACCAAGTTCACTCCAATAATTACTTCCCGGTGGAAATATATAAGGTTTTCCGAGTTAGGGTTAAGGCTGAATAACAGCATTGTGACAGACAATATAAAA